GCTTCGAGTCGTTCAAGCTTCTCCGTGATTGCGTCCAACTCTTCCTAAAAAGTAATGGTTTCCTGGATGAAGCTCGTGACGTCCGATGAGTGCAGTCTATTAGAAAGTTTCCTATTTAGACGCCTTTGTGTACTGGTAATTGCCATGTTGAGTTAGTTGGGTCCTGGTACGAATGACCCCGTTTGTGGCGCCTACATATTTAGCCCTCTCCCTCGCCGCGGCTTCTATATACTGGACCGCACCCTAGTTGTCTTGACTTTATTCAATCGAATAATAAAACTTTGAACGGTTCATAGATTGTGCATGCCTGATATTCCTCGAACTGTAGGACATTACTGAGGAATTCAGCAAGAGGGTCCGGAGCGTTAGAGTCGCTCGTAGTCAGCCTGTTGAAAGGAGTTTGCATTGTTAAGGGGCTTTTGGATGAAGCGAAGCTCATCGTCTCCGGGGTACTAACCTCCCCTCCCTCCTCTTTCCGGTATGCGAGCTTTTTTCCCTGGGAGAAAAAAAAAGAGATAAGGGAAGGTTAGTTGATAGGTAGATTTGGACCTTGAGGGTGGAGGTGACGTACCCGAACTAACGGTGAAGGTGATGGAAAGGAGGGGGTCGTGCTGAACTAGCAATTTTTCTCCTCAATATAATTTGCCCAGGTCCCTGCCCATAGGCTCACCGGCCTTCTCATTCCAGTGGAGTCCATTTTATCCCTACTGCTTTCACGTTACCCATTAGCAGTCACGTTCCTGGACTGTTTCACCTCAAATTCATGCTTACTTTGAATCAACAAGAAGTTCATAACTGCATTATCGATGAAGTAGTGGCAAATGGGCTCGGTACCACATGCGTACTAGGCGGGTCAAATCCCGCGGAGTGCAACCAAACCTCCCGTCCCGTCATGGTCGGATAATTGGGATCAGCTTCGCCCTTGAAAGATCATTCTGCTCTAGCGATTCTTTGAACTGAACTAATAATATTAACCTGTACGCTTCTCTTGGTTTGTCGGGCGCGATCCTCTGCAACACCAACGATGACCTTTTTAGTTTCCTCGAAGTTGGTCTTCTTTTTTGGCCTAGAAGAGGTTTATTAATGGTCTCCTGATAATAAGCAGTTTTTTTCATGGTTTTTGAATGAATTCCAATCTGCTGAAAACTCAAAATCGCCAGTGTTCATACTTCGCGACTAACGCGATTGACCGCGCTGCTGTGGCTGACCGCGTTCCAGCGGTGACGTTGGATAGTTAGAGAGGTCTAAAAAAGTTTTATCGTGGTTGCGGCCTAATCAGCAGTTACAGCGGCCTAAGCATTAGCGGAGGAACGCGGTCAGTCGCAATCGCGCGTTTCCTGTAAGGTCCCAGAGGAGCCGCGAAGTGTGAACGCAGCCCTATGGCGCGTGGTAGCCAATCCAGGCGTGGTTCCTTTAAGCACGACTGGGTGCATAAGAAGAGAATCAAGCGTACCCTGCTACTTTACTGAAAGCGATGCCGGTCATGGTGGTTGTGATGTTTTTCGAGTCCAGCACTCCGGCATCTTTCAACCACTTGTCGAAGTTCTTTCCAGTCATTTCCGTGGCCGTAGCAGCACCGAACTTTGTGAAGGCTTCCCATCTGGAATTAGAATAAATTAAATGTATAATGATAATTTCAGCTAGATTAAGTGCGACAACACTTTCACTGCGTGCGGGTGAATAGGGGACAAAAGGTAGTGGGAGTAGCAGTGGGCGGCATTAGGACACACTCTCTTTCTGTACGCTCTTCTGGCTGGCAATAAGGCCACTGGGCAATCACTGTCTTGCCGAGAGAACGCAGACATGCAGAAGCGGCGTGGCTTGACCTCACTGTCGCCTGTCCCCCTTCTTATTAGATATCGTTCAAAAAGAGCTCCCACAATCTTGCTAAACGGGAGAAAGGGACTTCCCTTCATGGCTGACTGTCTAGACGACAAAACGTAACTAGACAGGGAGGGCGCACTAGCAGTGCGGCTGTTTCGATGAACACAAGGGCGGTTTTCCTCGAAATAACACGAAGGACAGCTAAAAATAAGTGAGACCTAATGACCAATAATGATCAAGTGTTCGTTTCGAATGAAGCCAATCACGCCGCTAATGCGCACTCGAAGAACTAGCGGATTGCACACTCCCCTGCTTGCTAGTTATTTTTCTCGAAAAACACGAAGAAACAGCGCCCATAGCATAATATTCGCATGCTGCGATGAGAGTACATTGTCACGCTAGAGTGACATGGTGGAAGCCAGGCCAGCCTGCGTGCTTCCCCCATGATTGGCCCCCTCTTTGGCACCTTAGAAAGGAGCGGCGTACCAATTACGAAGGCTCCATACCTAGTTCTCTGCCATCACTTACACAATACGTGGAGTGGCTTTTAGCTTTAGTCATGGGGGTATAAGTGGATAAGTGATGATATTCACTTATAGAGAGAGGGAAAAACCGGCATGGTTTTACCTTCTACAGGTTACTACGCATGCTTTGAAAAGTCTCAGTTTTTATCGAATCTCTAAGCACATGCATGACGTACAAAGCAGTGTTAAGTATATAAACAAAGCAAAGAACAATGCGAAGGAACAAAGAGAAAGACAGAATGGAAGAACGACGTCGGCCAGATGAAAATGAGGAAACGTAGAGGAATTGGGGAAAAATGAGTCAACTGTTCATGAGGCCGCATGATAACAGAACAAGACCCAAGTTTAGAGCATAGTTCAAGGCAAGTGGCATGATAAATCCTCAAGACGCGTGGGACTAATAGGACAGTGCAAAATTTGGCGCCCCTGAGCAGGCGCTGCGTGGCGCTTTTTCCAAAGAAGGTACTCTTATAGCGCCCTATCAAGCTGCAACATGCGACCCGATGCCCACTGCGCCCGCCCGCCCACAAATGTCCGACCGAGTATCGCTTCACTTGCGAAGTACAACATGCAACGAAGGGATTGCTATGAAACGGCCGCAATGCTGCATGTATATATTGATACATGAATGTAGCCGTATCTACTGCAGCGATCACTGGGACGATGCCAACGGGAAACTCGTCCAAAATTGCTTCCAGAGACGTGTCGAGCGAAGGTTTTTAGGTTTTGACCGTTTCGCTTCTCTTTTTCGCCATTTTACCGGTATATTGCACCCCTGCTACCATTTTAGACCCAGAACTAAATTACCGTGCCTGATGCCTTCGAAGTAAAGGACTACTGCAGCGTTTTCACATTTACAGTAGGACAAGAACTTGAGGCATGTGAAGAATCCTCGAAATTAAAGGCAGTTGGCACGATAAATCCCCCAAGACGAGTAGGATTAATACGCCTGGCAGGACGGAATTCCGCGACCCTGAGCAGGCGCTGCATAGCGCCTTTCCCAAGGAAGGTGCCCTTATAAGGGCCCTATGAAGCTACAACATTACG